CTSTAAGTTAAACATGAAGTCCTGTTTCTGTGAAGTGTTGTGTTTTCCTATAATCATAAATGTTTAGGACTTCTCTCCTTCACCTCACACTGAAAGCAGCACATAACCAGTAATATGAGGCCTGTATCACCAATGGGGCATTTTGATTCAATAGTTATTCCCTGAGCAAGGTTCCCATTACAAGTGTTTAATGGAGCTTATTCAACAACTGCACTGCCTGTAGCGTAACAGTTGTCTCCTACYGTGTCCTTTGAGACCCAGTCTCTCTGTGTTAGGTGTTACTCACCAAGCTGTTTATTATTTGTGTTACAGGTGTATTTCTTTATAATGGGAAGTCCAAATGAAATAATTTTCATCCTGTGCTAGGTATTCAGCTGGTAGGCAAAATGCTGTGAATTCTGATAGCATACATGGCTGTTAACAGGAGTCTTCTAAGGTAGGAATGTCTGGCTGCCTTCCAGTTCACAAGTGACTACACAATGTTTCAGGGTTTGAGAACTGACATTTTCCTTCATCTCATCATCTCCTATTTCTGCTCTATGTTGTCTATACTTATTGAAGGCTTAATAATTTGGTTTTGTTGTACTGGTCCAGCAATCACTAAAAAAACATGAAGTTCTTCGTGGTCTTTGATAGTTTTAATGAATTCATGTTTGATGCTTAGAATGCATGAAAAACTTTTAGTATACAGATAGTAATTGTGAGACTGGTATTTTGTTTTGATAGCAATGTTTTGGAGTGAGGGGACCTCATTCTCCARGACCTTGTACGCTCCATGGTGATTTGCAATTGTGCAACATGAGGAATATGCTGCCAGAGTCACGTATCTGCTAACTTTGTCTAGTTGGAATTATGACTGTGCTAATCCAGCTAAGTGTCTTAATACAGGTGCCTCAGAAAAAAGAGATTTTCTTTAGATAGGTTTTATCACAGTGGGAACTTCTTCCTGTAAAGCTCTGCTCTCAGATCCTTTGCCTGTGCAGGTTAGGATAATTTTCAAAACTGTAACTGTATCCAATCTAGAAACTTTATCTACCACCACCGTGTTCCTCAGAAAGCGCAGCATTTAACATATGTGCAGCATACCTACCCCAACATAAGTCTGTAGTGTAGATAAACGGTAGAGCAAAAACTTTCCACTTCCTGTAATCACAAAGTATTACTCCCACCTTTATTAGATGCAATAGAAAACATGTAGTAGGGAACATAAGTGAAATGGGCCTTTTGAAGTTTTAAGCACTATATTAAMATCAACTGTTGGAGCAGGGTTATTCAGTGTGCTCAGTTGTGATTTATAGACACAGCTGGGATGTGTAAAGTGATTGCTCTGCACTGAGCCCAGGAAGAATTCAAAAATCTCCATGTGTCAGCAGCCTTGAAAATTCACAATCAAGACTTAAAGGAGCTGGCTCACTGATACGTGATTTTTAATAAGTGTTGGCATTTAAGAGAAATTACAGAAAACTGGAAATTAGTTTAGAAGTTGCTTACACTTAGAAAGGACCACTGTGATGCCCTCCTTATTTTTTAGGCTGCTCAGGTTATCATGAATGAGAAGAAAGATGGAAAAGAATAAAAAAGTGACATCACAGAAAAATAGATATGGTCCTGTAARTCTTGTTCCATGTATTGATGGAGCTCTACTGTAGTGATTCTGTAAGCTAGGAGATAAAGACTTAATGGCAGGACAGGTGAGATGCTAATAAGTATCAAGTTTACATGAAAAGTCAGTTTTGGATTTTTGAAAATGATTCTAATCAGCTGTTAGAACAACCAGTGAAGGAAAGTGACAGCTTCATCACCCACTTGAGAGAAGACACCTGGGTTGTTTTACTGTGCAGAGTAATTAATGGACATCACTKGCACTGCTTGTAATTCATTTTAAAATAAGTCATGTTGCACAGTCATCTTTCATTTATGTTAACCAGGACTTTCTTGGGGCATCAGTGGAGTTCACCCATAAAATTAAAGACCAGTCAGGCTAAAGGTGTAAACTTAAGCCCCACTGCAGCCACACTACTATATTCCTACACAATACATTTGATTTCATCTCAGTTTTCATCTGAATGTCTATTACTCATTCTGTGTGGTCTTGGTCTGAAATTTACTTAAAGAATATGATGCTTTTTTCCTGTAGCAACACATGTTGTCACCTCTCTGTCCTGGATGCAGTATTTGTAATACAAATACCTTATTTTGAAATCATAGCTGAGCTACTCTGATCTTCTCTGGATCCAGAAAAACAAAGAAACACTCTGATTGTACTGTCATCATACATGTCATTCCAAAAAACAGATCAATGGAGAAATACTGGATTATCCTCACTTTGGCTCATTTTTGTCTGTTCTCCACCTTCCTGCCTTTAAACCTTTCCTGGTAGGATTGTGTTGCCCCACCAATGTGAGGGACAGGACTCAGAGCCTGTGCTGTTGACAGAATAGGGAGCATTACTTGYTCTTCTCCTTGCATGAAGACTTTGCCACATCCTTTGGCATGTTCAGGTTTGATAACATCCCTAAATACATTCTCTGACATTCTTCATATAACCAGTGCTACTGGCAGAGTGCTAGAACTGCATAAGATTCTCTTCAAATGAATTTGCCACCACTGCAGTGCCATGCTCAATCTACATTAACCTTTGTATAGGTCACAACATAGACTGTAGTATATTATTTCTTCCTTCTTTCTTTGTCATTTCTTTGAGGAATTACGTGGAGGACTGGAATACTTTCTGAGCAGATGGTTAAGTWACTCCCTGAATTAGAAGCAGGAAGGGGTCAGAGCCCCATAGAATTCTATCCCATAGTGTAAGAAGGATTGTTCAGTGTATAAATAAGGTTGCAGCCACTGAACAAAACATTAACTACTGCAGCAAATGTGCTCCAACATGTACAACTGGAATTATGTAACTGTTTAACATAACACTGTAACTATCAATAAAAAYACTTTGAAGAAGAGCTCCTCTATAAATTATTTCAAGTGCTGTGGGGTTTTAATTTTGGTGCATTGGTGAATTGATTTGATTTGGTATTCATATAATGATCTGACTGTATCCTTTGACATAGATTTTAGACCAAAAATCTACCTCACCTAAATGTTTGAAAGAAGTGTAGGTTATTATTCTGAAAAATTACAAAACCAAAAAATGTGCAGTAAAYCTGTGGCTTTGGTTAATACACTTACTTATGCAGATGTTATTGTGAGAATTTTGAAGAAACTGTTAATATTCAGTTTCYTTATCTTAAAATCTGGCAACATCATATTGGTTTTTTATGATTCTTTGATAAAGGAGCTGCAGGCATCTTGCAAGGATGTGAAAGCATCCAGCAGTATAAGTGAGCAATGATTTTTTGGTTCAAAGCTCCTTTACAGAAGGCATAATCTAWTCTTACGTAAAAAATCATATGCCAAAACATTTAGCATTATCCAGCTAACTGACTGTGTAATGTAAAATAATCTTTGGTCTTTTCAGTTTAGTTTAAAGTGATATGTGTACAGAAAAAGACCTGAATAGATTTGAAAGCTTACTAATGGCAAATTAAACACATTCTGACTCCTTGAAGAGCAAAGGCTCTCTTTCTTTCAATAGTTTATTCACTTAAATTAATTTTGTAGTGTCATAAGTTTCTAYATGTTCATGCATTTACCTTCATATTGGATTGTCTTTGATTAAAAGATAAAAGAAAAAGGTTTCTTCTGTATCTGTATGCATCGAGTCTTCTGCAGATTATACCATTACAGAAGAGCAATTTAATTTGTTGATTTCTCTGCATGTCCTGGAAACTGTGCTTTGCATACAAATACTGTAAAGAATCTGCTTCTAGTTTGCTTTCACAAAGAAATAAGAAATAAGGTACAACTTCATGAAGGTCTTGCGAATTGTAATGGTATATATCTTGCCTTGAGCAACTACCCTTTTTATATTGCTTAGCAGACCTCTACCAATAACCTGTTTTGAAGAAAGTGCTTTGGAATGGAAGGTAATATCATTGAATAGGGAACAAGAAAATCAGTTGTATTACAAATTATTCCAAATTTATTTGGGTATATAAGTCACTTAATCCTCTTGTATTGATGTTTAAAAACTTAAAATATCTGTCATATAACTGACTTGATGAATTTAGATTATCCAATACCAGACTGATTGACCTCACAAGAAAAAAATCAGGATATTGTCTGTTGTTAATCCTCACTAGTGCTTATTCTTGTGTCTCTGGTGGTATAATCATATGATTAATATTAATAGTAAAGGCAGCAGRGTTAGATGCTTTCTTTTATATAATWCCTTTATTTTCCAAATTTCTGATGCAGTACCACTTGAATTCTAACTGTCAAATCAGAGTAGGAGTGAGTCTTCTTTAAATATGACAAAGAATTTACTATTTAATGTTTGCAACTCTTTAAAAATCTAGCTTGAAGCATCAAGTAGACACCTATTGATCAGTCTATAAATCAGAGGCAGACACAATAATTTCTTAAGGGATTTGCCTTTCATGGCCAACTGATTTTAATTTCTGCTTTGTTTTGTACATGAATATTTAAGTATTTGTTCACTGGAGGAATGCTCCCTGCAGCTGTTTTTAATTTGCTAGATGGCATCATCTCACCTAACTTCAGCCACCTAAAAACAAGCAGCAGCTGTCAGGAATTGTCAAGTCCATAGAGAACAGCAACTCTTTGCAGCATCTTTCCCCCATCATGAAAGAAATATAAATTACAAATTTGAAACACTTAGACTGTTGTAATATGAGGAACTGTAGAGGTTAGTTAATTCTGTCTGCAAGATCTGACTAATGCTCTTACCTGTCTTAAAAGGCAGTACAGAGGAATAATGAGCTCTTTGCCGGTGTTGAGAATTGCCTCTTCACAAACACTTTTTTCAAGTTGTATTATCTGYGAAATAATTACTTACTAAAACCACTGACGTCTCACTTCCCTCTCTCTAAACAACTCAGTGAGAAAAATAATTGTATGATGTGGTTTGTATTTTTGTTTTTCAGAACTGTGTATGCAAAGGTAAAAGTCCCTGCCTTTGTGACAGCGCGAAAGGTAGTAAGGTAATAATGCATTTTACTTTTCTAATATTAGCTTATATACTTGGAAGTTGTTAATACATGACTTCAGTTGATACAGTGAGTGRATTTAGTGTGTGATGGTATTTTGCCAAGACAGTCTACAGAGAATGATTACCCTACAGAGTTCTGTTCACTTTGGGGACATTGTTAAACTAAAACTTCTCAACTGAATTATTTTAAATGCAGTAGTATGTTTACAGCATTGTATGATGTTWGAACACCAACAGAACAATTTCTAAAGCAGCAGGTCCCTTTCACAAACTCCTAACAAATGYCATTACCTTGGCAGCAGCTCTCCTRTTACAATTTCACAATGCTATCAAGTATGTCATGTTCAGTGTTTCCCTCTTTCCATCTTTGGACCCTGCTCACCCCTCTTTTCCAGTTCCTGAAGGAAAGCTACCTGCACTGGCATCAAACAGATAAATCCCATGTAGATCAAGCAGGGAATGAGTTTCTGGGTTCGAATCACAAACACCTTGCCAGCACTGAAGGAACAGCAAATCCATCAGCAGTAACAGATCCACAGCTCTGCCTGTTGCCAATAGCAGCTTGGCAGAGGCTCTGAGTGGCTTTTAGACAAACCTGAATTACACAAATGCCAAAAATTCTTTGAAACTCCTGCTTGCAGTTGGAAAAACAACTGATTCACAAATGAAAGGGGCATTATTGAAGAAGTCATGGTTGCAATTCAGGCAAACCATGAACACAGAAGTTGCCTACCAAACCTTATCAACAGATTCCAGACATCTATAAAGATCTAGGATTATCACTGGACCCACTGATTGGTCTCATCTGCTTTTAGGAAGCTTCATTTTGCTGTGGGAGAAAATTTATCTCAAAGTAAATATGTTCATTATTAAATATAGATTAATAATAGGGAAWTTTTCAGTAAAATCTCCATGTTTATTTTTCATGTTCTTAGTTGGTCTGACCTGATTTTTTCCTGAACAGTAAAATTGAGACCAGTTGAAAAACTAGAAAAAAATAAGCTAYCCAATAAAAGAGAAATATTAATAAGAATAAACACCGACAACTTGTCTTCATCTGTTCCACATAAAACAACTGAGCAATTTGTAGGTAAAAGTTAATCATTGTTTAAGCTGATGGAGTTTTTCATGCAGCTATGGAAAATCAGGACAATGACGTTAATCAACATGTTTTGATAATCAGTGTTTAGAGTTCTCAAATCTGAAAATCCTCTGATCTTGTTGATCTGCTAAGAAGAAAGTGGCTAAAATTGCCTTTTCTCTGGAGAGGGCAGTGAAACTGCAAGGAGAGCGCCGGGCTGCTCTGGATTCAGACAGCGCTGCGCTGGCTCCTGCCATGGGCAGGCAGAACCAGGGCTTAGGTTTTCCTGTGAGCTGGTACCACACCCCATCCAGCGGCACAYCCTGGGATAGCATTAATCCTTCTCCCTTGGGGCACTGGTGCATGAAATAAGCTATTTTTTTATAAAAAGCTATGCCGATTTATTTTCTAGACCTCCCGGACACTTCATAATGCAATTCTTATTTTCATGTGTGTTAAAATATTCTGTGATTACATTAAATCTTGAGATATATATACATAATTTATTTGAAAAAAAATTATTTCATTCAGAAGCTGTTTAAAATCTGGTGAGTTTGTTGGATTTTGAGTGAGAATTGGTGCAGGGACAAGCCAAAGTATTTTGGCTTCCCAGAGACATCTCTTGGATCCTATCTTGTACATCAAATCAGACACTCAAACTTCTGCACAGCAAAATTTCACATGCTTACTTTGTATAAAGCAATAGGAAGATTGACTTCGAGAGAATTAATAAATCTATTCTCTCTCTCACATCATGCTGTGATGTAAAAGATCTTGAATAGGCAGCTTTTTGCTGGTGTAAAATTGAGTGTGCTAAATTGCCTCTGTCTGAAGAGCTGAAACACCTTCTCAGTGASCTTCCAGGCTTGAAGCACTTCATTTAAATCAAGTTAAGATTTGCTTCTTCATTATATTTACCGAAAATGCCCCTTTCACTGTAGCTTAGCCTCTTATATACGGTTTGTATAGCTTCAATTTTGTGTTTCCTTTACGTAGTTTGTTTATTTGAAATTGATCTTAAAAAAACCAAACACATGGAGCAGTAGTTRGGTGTCTTAATCTCCAAGATTCAGAGAAATTTAAAATAGTTGTCACTTAAAACAAGTGTTTTTATTCTATCTGAATTGTTTGGTTGCATTTGATCCCCACTGTTCTTTTTCATGGCTTTCATGAAGAGATATTGATAGTTTGGGACTTCTGTACAGCAGCAGCCATTAAGTTTGCCAGTTTGTGTTGCTAAACATAATACAGAAATATTAACAAGGAATACGTATCTGCTGTTTTCTTAAACTTTTCATGGTGTCAGCTAACTCCTGTACTCTGCAAAATCTTGAGTAGTGTCTTGTGTTCTGGTAATTCAGCCCTACTTATGAGCATGTGGTGCCATGGGGCCAAGGCAGCACAGAGATAGACCCCAAAAACAGGTCAGTGTGGGCAAGGGCAATGTATCTGCCACAACAGCAGAAAGCTAAGAGGTGCTGAAACTTATGAAAGCCTTAGAAATAAGCTATCAAAATGAGAATTCATGGATATTTTAAGAGTTTAATTATCTTCATGTTTACAGGGTGAAAAAGGCTTTCCTGGTGTTCCAGGTCCACCTGGTCAAAGAGGCTTTCCTGGTCCAGAAGGGCCTCCTGGGCCACAGGGACCAAAGGTAGGTATGTATATGAGACAGAGAGATACAGAGATACTGTGCTTGACTGTGAAAGTTAGCTATGACTGTGTAGAGAATTCTGTTTTACAAAACCAAACAAAACCATAGCCTGTTTCAGAGTTTCCCATTTGGTGAGGGATGTTGTTTGGTCACCAGCTGCAGTGCTCATTTTTGACTGTGTCGAAGTAGCTGATATGGGCTTTTGTTGTCAACTGCCCATTTGCCACTGCTAAARCAGCTGGACTGAACTGCCAAAGACAATGAACATGGGTTTAAACAGATTTTTGTAACATAGTCTCTGTTTTTCGCTTAACGCCTACTAACATCTTGAAATTTGTTGCTGAAAAGAAAGGAAACAAGCTACTACTGAGATAAATACAAAAAATAAATTTAAGAAAATYTGAAGTGAAAGATGGTTTTTAAGATAAATTGTGGTCTATTTAGGAAATAACTGGTTGCCTGCAGAATGGAGAGAGTGGCTTCAATGACTTGAGCTTTCTTTCTTTCTTTCCTGTATGTCTAAACTGAGGCTGAATATGAATTTTGGATAACTCCTGCATGAGTAGAAAAAAAAMCCCACAAAATTGTGCWTTAAATATATTTTATTTGTATTTAKCTTGAGTAAAAGTAGTCTTGTTGTTAGCAGTAAATTGTCACTGGTGAATAAATTATTTCTGTGTAAACATGATGTSAACTCAGCCACAGAGTAAATCAGGAAAGTACTTCCTCTATCACATTATGTCTAGGATGTGCACTAATGTGGCTACAGCACTTAACTATGCCTTTAAACCAATGAGTTTTATTGTTTTCATTTAAGTATTGTTGCATTATTCTATCCTATCTTMTTTTTACAATACTCTCTGAAAGTGATACTCATGGTAGTTTTGATACATGTTGATGAGCCTTTTATCTGAACTCACTGAAGTGTTTAGTACAGCATTTCCCTTTTAATAAGTGATAATAACTTCTGCAAGAATGGCAAAAAGTAAGGACAGTTTATCTAGCAAGAAGACCTCTGTCAGCCTGAATGCCATCTGTTGTGATGTGTGCCTGTTAGCCTCTTCAACACCCCTACATTATCTTAAATTTAATTTTAGAAGCTGTGTTGTTCTTCACATTTCCCATTTCCTTTCTGAGAATGGTAACATTTTCTTGCTAGTGGTAAAACTCTTGAAACGTCTTGAAAGAATTCCAGCAGGTTCTGTCCAGACAGTGGAGTGTCATTGTGGCATTCTTTGCTGTCTTCTTTCAGCCTTGCACTCCCATCCTGCTTAGCCCCTTTCAGCTTGCTCCTGGCCTTCCTTTCCATGCTCAGAAGTGCAGATGAGAGTACACATGTCTATCTGATCATTACACAGACATCACCCAAATATGGGAGACTTCCAGCTGTTYCCTCACAGGGAAGCACTTCCAGGTCTCACAGCTTGACCAAACCCATAGCATCTGCTTTCTCACCATATGGAGTTATTTTTTGGACCTATGATGAGATACATGTATTTATTCACTATGAGGTTAGGAGGATGGTGAGGCACTGAACAGGTTCCCCATCYCTGRAAGYGCTCAAGGCCAAGTTGGATGAGGCTTTGAGCAACCTRTTCTAGTGGAAGGGGTCYCTGCTCATGTCAGGAGGGCTGGAAGTAGATGATCTTTAAAGTCTCTTCAAACTTGAACCATCTGATATTTTCTGATACATCCCCTGTATTTTGTGTGCACATGTTGGTATTGCTGTTGAAAATACTGCGTGTCCTGTTGACATTTATAGGTTTTTTCTCCATTCTATTGAAATATGTTGCTTTCCCTTTGTGATCTAGGGTTCTCCAGGGCCTATGGGCTTAGTTGGACCCAAAGGTACACGAGTAAGTGTATTTTGAACAAACTTATATGTATTAAATGTCATGTTCAATGCCGAATTAATTCAATAATTTGTGAAATTAAAAGCAAAACATTATGTATGATTTCAAAGTATGGTTAAAATTTATGACATGGTATATGCACAAGCATTGTTTATTTTTTGAACTTTTGCCCTTTTTGCTACATCTTACACACAATGTTATTGCTTTATGCATTTAATTTTTGGGTGTGTAATGAAAAGGTCAGGTTAGAATACCACAAAAAGTTGGTTGGAGTTTTTTTCCTGTGGGCAAAACCAGTATATTTTATCAGTGTGTAACCATTATGCTTGGTTCACAGTCAGGAGAGTTAAGGAAGTAATGATCTTTTAATAGAATCATACTTGCATYCATTCTTATTATGAATGTGATGAAAGAAGAACTGCCTAATGAGCTTTTGTTTAATATTCATAATATTATTTCTCTGGTTTAATATCATTAGGGAATCCCAGGAATACCCGGATTTTCAGGTCCTCCAGGCCTTCCAGTAAGTAAAAATGAAACTGATTTAACCATTTCTCTCTTWCTACAGTCTTCAGTGCACAATTATCCTCAACTCAATGTGCTCACTCTAGTCTCAACATCAACATTGTCTCTGTCAATTGGCCTAGAGATAAAAATCTTGGCATCAGCAATTTTTACTCATGGTAATGATTTAAGAACACATTGTAATCTGTCAGGTCTTGTGAAATACTGCTCCAACATAAACTCTTTCAGTGTTTCTGTAGGGCAATACGAATGTGCAAAAACAAAGCTTGAGTCAATTTTGTGCTTCTTTTTAGGGTGAACCAGGAACTGTTGGTCCTCCTGGGCTCCCAGGTGTTCCAGGATGCAACGGCACAAAGGTACAAACCAAGCTGAGTGTTCTGGAGATTGTGTTTGGCTGTGCTTGGGAATGGCCCAAAAGCGTTCTAAATTCCCCCAATATACAGCTTCGACTTTTTTTGGTTTGTGACATTATCAGCTAGAAAAAAACTTGAGTCATGAGACTGAGGAAGGAAAAGTGCTGCCTTTTTGTGCAAAATAGATATTTACATAACGCATGCTAATGGCCTCTGCTAAAAGATAAGAAAAATATTTGATATTTTGACAGAGAAAACTTTTTTCATTATATCTAGAAGATCTARTCAGTTTTGTCCTACATGTCCTTTTGTTGCAATGGGGCATAAAGGAGATAGTTAATTATTTTTATTTCAGCAACATCTAGCTTGCAGTTGGTAATTCATAAATCCTGAGGGTAATTAAGAGAAAAGGATTTATGTTCAGTTACAAATCTACCAGGTTTTCTTTGCTCTGTGGGCATTCTAAAGGAGGGAGTCAGAATAATGCCTGCTACAGAAAATCATATGTTTCTATTGAAACAGTGGACCAATCTGCACTGTCTAGGATGGAAGTCAAGCTGCATAAAATGGGATGATCCTCTTCTAGCTAATACAGTGCTAATGCAYTCACAGTGCATTTGGTATGGTAACATAAAAAAAATCTGTAATCACATTTGCCAAAATCAGGCCAAATAATAAGCCATAATATGCATTAACAATCACTGTTACTACTTTCAGGGTGACCAAGGATTTCCAGGTCCTCCAGGTCAAAGAGGTCCTCCAGGCTTTCCAGTAGGTGTCTGTGAAATTCTTGATTGTGTACATTCCTACCAGATAAAGCCAGTCCCTGAGGGAGTGTAAAGCCTCATGTTAGCTCATACTGGCAACAGTTAAAATATATAGGTATCCCCATTTTATTAGTATGATAACTGTGCGATAAGGAGAACAAAGTTAAAAGTAATGCTTTACTGTCTGCATGTTGGGCCTCAACTTCTTAGTTAATGAGTGCATGCAATTCATTGACTGGAGTTAACTCTCATGGGATACTCATGAAAATTTACCACTTACATCTCTAAAGGTGTCCAAGATATATTTAGTAGACTGCAGTTTTGGTTCATGCCTAAATGTCTTTGRGGGAAAAAATGGCTTAATTTAATCAATAATAACCAGGAATTACACCCAGAACTTCTTAATCTGGGTGCATTGCTTTAATCCTAGGATTTGGGTTTCTTCACTGTAGAAATGTGTTTGAAAGAGAAACTTTTAAACTAATGGAAAAAGAATGCTGTCTGTCAAGTTCCAGTGGCTTCAAATCTAATAACTTCTAAATGTGATCTTTATTTTACCAGCTCTGATGATTTTGTTTAGTTAGTCATGTATTGATATCTGGCTTCAAAGCTGTCTTGCCTTCACTGGTAGAGTTGTACCTGTAACATTTTAACAATGTGCCCTTTTTTAAATTGAAGTCTAGTACAGTAAACATGAACCTGGCATGAGCCTTCTTCATGAAAATAAATCACCTGAAGAGCACCAAGTTTAGAGAATATTTAGAATGTGTTCTTTCAGCACTGTCTCTTACTTTCCTGTTTTAATATGATTGTTCATCTTCCTAGGGTATTGCTGGTATCAAAGGAGAGAAGGTCAGTTATTTACTTTATATTCCATCAAGTATTTATTGGTTATCAACAATTCGTGTGTATGGTTGTTGCTGGAAAAGAACTCAACTCCTACTCCATTTGTGGGAAACAGAAGGTTTACCTTCCAAAAGAAGCAACCACAAAGTTTGTCCTAGTAGCATTCACCTCAATTTGCAAAATGGTCCATAATTCCCTTAAACTACTGTTGCTGCATGTAATGAATTTAACATTGTCAAGCACACAAAGAACTAAGCTCCTTCCCCAGTGTATGAATTCATATGGAAGTCTGCAGATGCACTAGAGAGTATTTTAAAGGGATGAAAAGTAACAAAAATAAATKGAAGGCAAGGACTGTGGATGAGTAATGTAGGTATATCGGAAAAGAAGACTGCTCCTAACCGAGATTTGGAATTGCTGCAAAAGGTGTATTTTGTTTAATAAAATCTTTTTTAAGGGTAGAACTATTCAGAGAGGACAGTTGCCATTATTATGCAATTCTGATACTGCTTATTTCCCTGTAAACTGTATGAGAAGATTTGCTGCACTACAGAGTTCTACAGAATAACTTTTTATGTTTCTTTTTATTTAATTGTCCAGGGGTGCCCTGCAGAAGGATATAGCCAAGAGTATGGTGAAAAAGGTGATCCTGGATTACCAGGAATGCCTGGTCTCCAGGTAACTCAAAATTAAGACGGTGAGATAGATATATATATAWAAATATAAAATAATATGTATAAACACATTATATGTAACATGAGTATGTATTAAAATTATTTGTATTTTACATAACTTAAGTATGTTATTTAATATAGATACAGTATTTTTTACAATTATGTCACTGATTTCTAAAYTAATATCAGTCAATTTGCAGGCCAGTCAGGTTACAGAAAAGCAGTACTTCAGATATGAAGGAAAACTGATCACAGATTTGAGTTTTCTCCAATATATAGAATAGAATAAAATAGAATAGAACAGAATAATTGAGTTGGAAGGGACCTATAATGGCCATTTAAACCAACTGCTACAATTCCCATTGAAGTTAAGATTGAACATATTAAACCAGCTCTACTTCTGGAGTACTAGCAAAGGACAGGATGATCTATATTTCAAGAATGGACATTAACATGGGAAGGAAAAGCTGAAATTTCTTCCAACTATTGGAATAAACAGAGAGCATTAAATTAAAAAGAAAATAAAAATGTTTAATTTTCCATTTCTTTGAAAATGAATCTTCAAAGTATAGGATTTATTGCATAGAATATTTGAAAGATTAAAGGCTTACTAGAAGCATCAATAAGACCATGTGGTTTATGAGCACACATTTTGCAGAGGRCTGACATCCTCACTTGGGTAGTTTAGATTTAAAACAGATATATCTTCTCATGTTTCAAAACATATACCAACCAATGTAGCAGTGAGGAGGAATTATACTTCTGTGCTATCCTGAGACAGGAAAAGGAAATTCAGAAATGAAGGTGGTCCTCTGTTACTTATTCAGTTCATTGATTTAGTGTTGTGTTTTGCTCATAATCTTGCCAGGATATTTATTCCTGTTTCTTTTTTGATATGCAGGGTGCCCAGGGTGCTCAAGGATATCCTGGGGAACTTGGACCACAGGGCCCTCCAGGACCTTTAGTATGAACTTATGTCTCCCTTGTTACTTTGACCTTTGATTTTCTCTAAACCCTTTGGAATTACACAGATACAAGTACTTTACTCTCCCAGATTTATTTGAGGTCTAGACACAGGTGTATGTAAAAACTRTGTTTTTCTGCACACATCTGTTTTTGTTTCTGTTTCTTTTGATTATTTTTATGCACAATAATTTCTGTATTTTCAGAACTATCCTTGTCCCATGTAAGCATAAATTTTCATTTTCAAATGACTACCCATGAATTCACTTTAAATACTAATATGTAAATAATTGAGAAATGCATACGTTTGCAACTAGACTGTGTAAACAGTCTGTCACCGAGGGGTGGGAACTGCAGTAGTAAAGGTGGAAGAAAGAGTAAAAATAGTGATATAAATTCTGTGAAAGTTTGGTACTTCAAAACACCTATATCAGAGCAAAAGATTATAATATTTTTRGCTAAGGATTATTTTTATTTCCTTTTTTTATAGGGCATGCCAGGGAAAGCAGGACCTCCTGGACCTAAGGTAGTCTCAGATTGGTAATAAAAAGGAAACTTTTGTAATCTRTAACATAAATTATATACATGTTGTAGGTGCTTGTAAAATAGAAAAAATAACATGTGGGGATTTTTTTTCAGGGTCTTATGGGACTGAAAGTAATAGGAGCCAAAGGAAGAAAGGTAATTTCAGTAGAAGCTTTAAACATTTTCTAAGTTTTGTTTCTCTTTCTTGCATTTTCTGATATGCTATGGTGAAATGTTTGGCAAAGTAAGTACTGTGAAATATGAATTTTTAGTTTATGTGAGGGTGTCTTTTGTTGAGAAATGAAAACATGGCAATGCTGTCTAAGGTTAAAATGTTTTCGTATAAGAGCCAATGATATAAACTTCTAGATAGAAGGTTAGACACAACAGAAGCCAGTAGTTTATGTTTGCCAACACATAGCATTAAATTAATATATTTAATTTGTGTGGTGCTCCTAAATGCTTACCTAAGCAGATAAACAGTGGTAAATATATACCATTTGTAGTCTCACAATTTCTGCCTAATGTGTTTTCAGTGTAAGGCCCTGTGATACTGGAAATCTCCCAGGTTTTGAATAAAAATTGGATGACTTGTCATTCATGTTCTTRCTTTGTATTCCATGTAATAGACATTAAGCCAGGAATTACTACAAATGCCCACATTGTCTCTCAGCACCTCAGCCTGCAGTTGGAGGACCTGTGTAGTCAATCTGAATATCCTTGCAAGAAATTGGGGCATATCACAGTTATGCTAATTAACCTTCACAGATGCAACTGKGGTTGGTTTAAACTTTGTAACTAGCACCAGGAATGTGCTAGAACTTTCCTGGAAAAAAGTTTGTCTATAGATCTAATTCATTAGCAGTAGCTCAGGTGATCATGGAACATCTTACTTCCTTATGAAAGAGTAGCACATTCTTTGCTGTTATGCTGCAAATTCATGCCAAAACATTCCACTGGCTTAAAATCAGTGAAAATTGTGGATATTGTTTTGTTGAGCTCCATAGGAAAGAACATGTTGTGGACTTGCCCTGTTTTGAAATATTTTTAGTGAAAAAGTGCACTTCAGTACTAGTGTTGTCAGTGAAGGACATGTGAAAGCTTGTTTGACTCTTAGCACTGTGATTCTGTATCTCCCTGGAATACCCAGACCGCACTTTGGAGGATTTCACTAAAGACAGTTAATGTAATTTGTTGACATAATTGAATTGAAAGAAAAATTGTAATCAAATAGGTATTTTAATTGATTTAGAGTTAAACTACTTATGTAACTTATAAACAAATAGAATTAAAAATCTAAATTATTTCTAGATACTTTAGCAGAAATCAGCATATACATTTTTATATTTATCAGCTAGTGGTAGGTTAAATCTCCCATATACCTTTTAAACTGGAATATAAATGGCAAGCAAAGGGAAATGTTAACAGGATTAAYGGCTGAGTATAATGACAGAAGAATTTTCAGGATGTCAAAGTACAGCAGCAGTAATTTGAAATAATAAAAACACAYTGCTTGTAATTTGCTCTATTTTTCTTTTTTTCTTTCAAGGGTGACACTGGATTAACTGGACCCCCTGGACCCCCAGGAACTGTTATTGTGACATTAAGTGGACCAGACAACATGACGGTAGTAAAAYTGTTAAAAATCATGTTCAGATAAGCCTGACTAGGTTTCTCTTTGAGGGGACATTTTTATCTTCACTGCTCTGATAACATTTTCTTTTACCCATCCTAACATTTTTCAGACGTGTTTAATTAGATTGTAAGCTCTCTTAGAGTGTCTGTAGAGCCAGCTTGGCTGAAGTCTGTGTGCTCACATGTACATGTGCACAGTGCCAGTGCAATGCTTCTTGCTTACAGTACCCACCTGCTGTCAGTGTCAGAGTATGTGAAGGGTAAATCACTTCTGCTTCACCAAATCAATGTGGATTTTCTGAATGGCTATCAAAGCCACAGCTGTGCTGACCTCTTGGCCTTGTCACTGAGAATGTCAGACTGAGTTTCACAAAGGCTTGCAATATGTTCATGTACATTTTATAGTTTTCTCTTTGCTTTTACTGAAACATGAATAATTATGGAAAGTGTTGGCAAGATAATACATATGGAAGAAAGGAAATAATTTCATTCAGCTTTCATTTTAAGTATTGTTTTTTGAATTAAAATTCTTGCATTGTGTCCTTATATAGAGATTAAACAGTAGTAGTGGATACAACTTTAAGTATTCATGTATTAACAGGATTAGTCTTTAATGTGTTCTTCACTCTATTTTTCTTATTTAATTTGCAACTAATCTATGGAGTGATCCTAACTGCCTCTCCATTATGTGCTATAATAAAAATTGAATTTTGCATCAAGACTATATTGAGGAGGGAGGAGAAAGATCATAGAAACAAGATTCAGCTGTCCCTGCTTAAATCAAATATGGACCACCTGGAGCACACCAGTCACAGCTGTGGTGGTTTATCATGAGAGACTAGCAAGGTTTAAAAACCCCTCAAAAGGCCTTGTGTAAATTGTTTGGAGCGTTAGTCTAGCCAGGTAATGATTCTCTATAAAATTGTCTTTGCAGTGACCTTAAGGTGTGGTCCAATGGTGCTACAYAGTAGGGTAATCTATTCTTGCACCCTCAGAGGTGAGGATGGCATAGGTAGGCACTGCACTTTCATTTTGGMAGTTACAATAGCTCTAGTAAAGCCACTGAAGTTTATTTGATGTTTTGGCTTCTTTCTTGTTGCAATTTGTGGGGATATTTACTGCAGTTTGTTGCATGCAATCACAGGTAGATTGTTTTGACCTTGCTACATTCTGAAATGGGCAGAAAGTTTCTTTTTCAAACGTCACAGACGTAGGCAGGAGCACTGATACAAAGTTTATGTATTCTAATCACTTGAGTAGAACATCACTGTTCAAAGAATCATGTTGGTGATGAGGATTTCCTATTTGGAAAAATGGACTGTCATAGTGAGCAGAGRAAAATCCACAGTAAATTCTTATTTTCTGTGTAACAGGACTTGAAAGGAGAAAAAGGAGACAAAGGATCAAGAGGACTCCCGGGGCCAATGGGGTTTACAGTAAGTTAGCAGAAGTAAATCCCTTAAATCCAGGTGTTCAGCCAGCATCACCTAGTAAATGCTACCCTTTACAGCCCAGTATATACTCTCATTATTTCAGCCTTTAATGACAAGAGTAGAATTAATGAATAGAATAAAATACTTATTAATAGCATGGCAACTGTTTTATTTAAGATAAAAAATTATAAAATACATATTTAATTTAGAAAATCTGAGTTTCAAAATATGAGTATCATCAGTGTGGTTTTGTTACAGGGTCCAGTTGGTGATTCTCAAAGTGAAAAGGGTGACCRAGGAGAACCAGGAGCAGAGGTATGTGCAAACAATTGAATACACCTGTTAGTCCTTTATGAAAAACAGTTTTAAACTAGTGTTGCTGTCCAGTTTTTGTCTTGCTGCTACTCAGACCAAATCTTCTTAGATTCAAAAGCTYTTTCCTGCAGTAAACTAGACAAGAGCTGGAAGTTATGTGACTGTGCTGAGGATTGTTCTTTTTTCAGCTGGATGGTGCTATAACAATGATGTTAGAGAGCAACTTGATTGTTATTTCTATTATTCCTATACATAATGAAAAGTTCAATTTGAGTTACTAAAGTTCTAATGTGCTCAGTGTCTAGTTGCTATGTTCTTTGAATGCAGTCTCCCTGCTTTTTAACAGATTTTATTTTACATTTTTGCTTTGTAGGGGAAACCTGGAAAAGAAGGTGCCCCAGGACCACCTGGCTTACCGGTAATGAAGGAAGCCTTCTAAATGTTTTCTATGTACTAGTCATCTGTTTATGACCATTTTATCTTCCTGTCACAGCTTTTCTCATTGCAGAATGTGTTTGAAAATGTTGATTTGCATACAGTGCAAATATTTCCTTCACACAGCTGTCCTGGGAGCATGCCTTGTCCTCGTAGACTTATGCACAGGAGAGACTCAGTTCACAGATGTTGCTTCTCTGTAAAATAAAAAGACCTGTTGTTTGCTGGTTTCTAAGTAGTTTGAGACACCCTCTAAGATAAGCAGAATTAATTCTACTGARTTTTATTCTGGTTAGTCGCATTGAAATTTTTACAAAAGTTATACCTTCCTTTGACATAAATTGAGAAGAAAAATGAATAATTTTTGGTCATTAGAATCAAAGATACATTGTTTTTCAGAGAAAAGTTATTGTCAGGGTCATGGCTGTCTTGACCTGAAACAAGATGACGGATAGCTATTAAACGGTCATTTTGTTAAAATATAGTTCTTAAAATACACCATTTCGAAGCGAAATTGCCTTCTTTGTGTACCAATTTAAAAGTTAAAGATGTTTAAATTTGTTTGAAATGATGTTTGAAATACCATGGTCAATTGGTTAAATGTCAGYTCTTTTTACTTCATCCMCTTTTTAACAACAACATTAGAGYCACGGTGACCTTATAAATATCTTACCAAAATTCTTACTGCCAGAATRGCCCATTCCATGTGTATCTTACTATAACATCACTTTTGTCATGCTAAAATGACCTTCACAGGCAGTCTAAACRCATTCCAGTGTGACAAAGAACACTGAATGACAAACCACAAAACTCTACTGCTTCAACTAACAAAAAGATAGGCAAAGATATATCATTATTCTGTACCCATTTCAGCTTTATTCACTACCAGTGCGTTCAAGTGCATAAGCCTCCAAGAAGTCTCTCTCCCTTGCATGTATTTCCTTGCAGAAAGGCTGCAGAAAGTTTGGACTGTTTCCCTTCCTGGTGTTGATGACACTGCTTGAGATCACCGCCATGCCACAGACTGAGCAAGTTATGGGGGAGGATGTTGAATGGCATAGTCTCACAGTGTGTTCAGYTTCTCCTCTTCAGAAATAGTTTGCAGAGGGAGAAACAGATCAGAGACTCCTACACTTGTGCCATGCAGAGCATCTCTCTTGGGAATGTTGGAGTGTGCTGTAATAAAGGCAGGTTTGGATGGGACACTTGCAGCTTTTCCTACAGATGGGGAGCTGTMCCTTAAACTGGGTATTTCACTGCATTTTCTTCCCCTAAGCAAGTTGCATTCATTTTGCCATCACCATGAGAGATGAAAGCTTTGCATTTTAGGCCTTACTGATGTCAGTGCTAAAAGATTTATCCTCATGAAATTGTGTACTGTCACCTGCAGGGACAAAAGGGTGAACAGGGCAAGCCAGGACTGGCTGGAAGACAAGGAGCTAAGGTATTGTCTGATTGTTATATTAATGCTTTTAAGGATGAGGATAAGGTATGTTGGGGGGGTTATTATATGATTTTATTTATTTCCATGCATACAATACATTTTATTTGACCGAAGTGATGACAAGGATATTATGGAATAGGGAATGGATCAGCTGAAACAAACCATGTGTGGAACTGGTGTCCATCTATCTCTGCAGATGAGTTCCTGTAGTTTTTTTGGGTATGTGGCTGAATAGTTGTGTAAGGAGCAGAGGGTAGTGAAGGACTGMCCAGGAGCAGAAGTTCCTGTTTAATGTTTTGAGCAATGTACTGAAGTAACAGTRGGTAAATGTCATTTCATATATTGTTTTTAATAACCAAACCTATCTCTGTCCTCTGATGAAGGGGATGAAAGGAAATACTGGTCCACCTGGAGCCCGTGGTCGAGTAAGTGTAATGTATCTTCATATATTGTTTTCCTAAACCATTACAAGAAGTGTAATCTAAAGTGTCTGCATGAGGCAATAATGGATGTCCTGTGATGCTTTCATCAGGCATGSCTTTTGTAAAGCCATGGTTAGACCGCACTCGGATGCAGCAATTTTGACAGGAAATTGGACTTTCAAAGAATAGCTACCAAAAAAATCACAGGAGTTAGTATTTAAACCAATTTATAACCACTTCCAGAACAGGTGGCATTGATTTTAAAATCCTAAGAAAACTTTTAACGAAAGCATGAATAGCTRTGAGTACTATTTCACTATCTAGTCATGCTGTCTCCCTCGTGGCTTTCCTGAAGACTTCATGTGCACCTGATRGAAACCTTCTGCCTAAATTCTTCAGAAGAAATCGCTTAGTAAAAAGCTGAAATGTTTGTGATATTGACAGAGCACTAAAAAAACCCTGCTTCTAATTGCAATTATAATTTCATTTCTGGTTGCTTGTAATTAGTAAGGTCTTGTTTCAGAGCATCAAAATTACGAGTAAGATCAAAACGTTGCTTTAATCAAATGTTCAGYGTGAGGTACTGTGCTTTGCTCTTCATTCTTGCAACTCTTTCTTTTCTCACCCTCTTTCCCTTGAGACGGAGTATTATGATTATGTGGCTGGTGAAAAAGGRGATGAAGGACCCCCCGGACCTCCAGGACCAAAAGGTCAACGTGGCATGCCTGGTGAGTGGGACACGAAAATGACAATTTTGTATTAGGAACAGTCCAGTCAAAGGGCTTATTGCTCACTACATTTTGAACAACTTTCTTCTGCATTTACAAGAATATTTCCTAAACTCTCATCAAATTGCAAAGTTGGAATGTGTCCTGAGACTTTGATGTATAGTATTATTTCCCCTTAAAAATAATCAGCCGCATAGTCATGCAATATTTACATGCCCACTCAGGCAAAACCAAGTTCTTATTTTAATTTTTAAGCTTGAAATGCAAAAGATCCAAGTTTGAATTCAATAGTATTGAATAGTGATTTTGCAGAGTATAGAGTGGTTTAACTCAAATTCTTAATATATTGTATTTTCAGGGCCACAGGGTCCTCCTGGAGCTGCTGGTAGGCCAGGTATGTGCAGTGATCCAGTACCAATAATAAAATGCATTGTTCTTCCTATCTGTTACACTGAACTACCTTTGTCAAATATCTCTATGTGGCAAAAAAATTGTTACCCAAGAGTTTTGATGGGTCAAGTACTTARGTTAAAGATAATTTTTAAATGTCTGTAGATTCTCACTGTGATTATTTAAAATATTTCAAGAAAAAAATCTTTTGGCGTGGACTTGGTGTGTCAATTATTCTATTGAGTACTTACTTTGCTTTGAAATAGATTCCATTTCTTCTTTAATTCTGTTTTTGTATTTTTTCCCCTTTGGTTAGGTGTGTCAAGACCTGGTCTGAGAGGTCCCCCAGGATTTCCTGGGCCAAAAGGAACAAAGGGCGAGAAAGGACAAACTGGCTTGTGTATTGTAGGCCCTCCAGGACTGCCTGGTATTRCTGGCAGGCCTGGTTCTGTTGGATTACCAGGTCCTCCAGGAGAACCAGGTACTTGTAGTTGCAGGTGTTTTGGATTTTTCTAGGTTGCTCTCTCTTTTAAATGGATTGTAGAATGTCTCCAGTTGGAAGTGATCCGTAATGATCGGAATACTGTCTCTAGCTCATCCCTGTGACTTTTCTCTCTCTTAGCAAGTTGAGGATTGCCTGAATAATCTGCTGGTGTAATGGTGCCATGCTCATTTCATTCACAGGTAGAGTAACATTTGGAACAAGCCTACCAGGSCTTCCTGGAGAGCCAGGGTGTATAGGACCTCCGGGACCTCCAGGAGATACTGGCATGAAAGGTCAGTTTCAGAAAACTATCACACAGAAATATGAGGTACAATCCAGTCATCTTAATGGATCCTCATTAKATTTATTTTAAATTTAATTTACCTCTAAAGTAGTTTGCTGAGTTTAGAGTTTTAAGAACATTGACTAGGGATAGCAAGATGTCTTCCTCCCCTTACATCAATTAAAAGGGCAGAGGCGGGGSCAGTGCTGCGCACCAGTTGTGCAGAACTGCAGCCGGGTGTAGATCTTCACTAGAACAGTTATTTCAGATTGGTAGGGCTTTGTGCTCTCCTGTTGTGATGTTCATGCTACAGTTGGTCTCTGAAAGAAGCTGCAACTTTCACCCACAGGAGCTGCTGAATCTCTTTGCCCTTTGCTTGTCTTTAGAATGACCCTGACTGTTACAGAGCCCAGTTAGTTTGGAGAACATGTTCTTTTCTTCTTTTGAGAGAATTTGGCTTATCAGTAGAGTGACTGTGTCCAAATTGTTTGCTAAAACTTGACTTGAAAGACTCAAGAGATTTAAACCAAGTGCTTTTGCCCTTTCAGTAAATATAGTCAGTTCTGATTCACTGTCTGACCACAGGTAATTAGTATTGTGTTGAAAGTGAWCTTCCAACAAAATTAAGCCCATGATTCTACTGCTCTGGCCAAAATGTGTCAGCTATAACAAACTATGTAGCACATTAGTTGAGCTTGAATATTACTTGCCATGGAACAACTAATGATTTCTTTTTGTTCYAGGTGATGATGCTCCTGTGTGTACTGATTGCAGCTATATTCCGGGAATACCTGGTCTTCCTGGTTCTCCTGGGCCTCGTGGTCAGGATGGCATGCCTGGTAAATTATCTTGTTGTTCCTAACAGGGTAGGAGGAGCGCAAATGATTTTGCTTTTAGGATGAGAATCAGGTGTGGGCATGTCTGCAGACCTTGAGCTAGCCCTGAGGTTGTGGTGAGTGTGAGAGCCTGGTGCAAGCTCCCTCTGCTGATATGAGCACAAGCCCTAAAAGATCTGAACTCATACTGTTGATAGGCTTAGGTGCAGCCTGAGGCCAGATCAGTCTATGATGATGTAGTCAATGTAACAAGCAGAACCACTGAATGCTGGGTGCAGTTATTGGAGCTTGTCAAAATCCATGTYTTTGTTTTCATTTTTCTTTACAGGACATGCTGTTTCTTTTGCAGGTAGTGAAGGAGCAACAGGTCCAAAAGGTTCTCCGGGTTCTCCAGGAGCACCAGGGTTCCCAGGGACTCAAGTAAGAATTTGGTTTTTCAGATTAATGTTCATGTCCCACAAGAATTATTTCAGAGAAATCTCATGGCTGGTGTTATATGCAGTGTCAGAGTGGGTGATCTCAACAGGTTTTTTCCTGCAGTAATGAATGTGTCTGTATGGGAGGCAAGGCAGAGAATGTGATGTATGGCTGGCATAGCTTTACATTAGTCTGGTTGGCTCAGTACAGCGAGTTAGCCCAGGAAGTAAGGCAGGTAAATACCTGTGTGGTTAACCACAACTGTGTTTCATGGTGGTGAGACTGCTCATTCTGTCTGTTATAAGTAGGCTGTAGTTACCTTCTGTCCCTCTCTGTAATTCTATAATTGTGGCTATAAAACATGTATAGAGTTTTCTGTGCTGTGATCTTTGCCAGACTTCTTCCTTCTCTTGTTTCCAGCATGCTCGGGAGTTGGCTAAAGCCCCTGCTTCTCATAATACCCTCTTCAYGGGTGCAAAGGACAGTCTCTCTTGGGAAATGTTATGAAGTGGGGARGGCTGCCACCTGCTGCCACACACGTGCCATTTGGTTATTCTAATTTGTGCCTGTAGTAATAATTACTTATGGGAAAGTACGGCCAGTGCTATCCAATAAAAAAGTCATGCACAAGTATTTGTTGTAGTTGCTGKGCAGATGCAGAATGAGTCTGCTAACAGGCTTTTCTAAGAGCTCTTCAAGAGTTCATGAGCCCCCAAGAGTTCATGAGCCTAAGATCACTAGAGTCCAAT